CTATATACTTGAAATTTGCTAAGAGGGTAGATCCTAAATGTTCTCACCACACAAAAAATGGTAAATATGTGAGATGACAGATATATTAATTAGCTTGATCATGGTGATTATCTCACAATGTGTATGTATATCAAATCATCAAGTTGTACATTTCAAGTATATGCAATATTAAAAAAAAAAACTATGGCTGGACATAAGCTCTTTTTTAGTATTAGCCCAACAAGACTCTGGAATTCACCACAACAGCCTCCTCCCCAGGTAGCTTGGGCTTTTCACGTACAGAGAACTGGATCATATGACCTTGTGGCATATTGTCTTATGATCTCTACTGGAGTAGAATGACTTTCAAGTACAGTCCATGCATCCCTGAGTACCAGCTCACTCTTCGAAGCACTTAATAAGCATTGTTGGATGAACAGAGAGTGAAATCACATACGAAGAGCAAAGAAATCACAGAGAATTGAGTACAAAGCAGCAAACAGGCATTGCCTTGACTTTAGTAGCAGGCCAGCCTTACATATAAATCATGTACATGTAGACTATTCAGTGGGACTAACTGTGATGCACACAAAAAATCCCCGAGCACAGAACATGCATGAAGTCCTGTCAGTCACTTTTATCTCAGATACGCAGTTCCTTGGATCTGAGGTTAGGTCATGATGAGGGAAACGGGATAGCAGAAGCTGAGGACAGAGAACCACGATGGGGTGGGAAGGACTATGAGGGAATAAAGAAAGTGTACCAAAGAAAAACAGACTTCATGGTCTTGACTATGGTGATGCCCACAGCACTTTAAATACAAAGGGAAATTTGACAATGGGGCTGAACACTTTTTAAAAAGAAACTCATATTATTCCATTTTCCACTCAAAATCCAAAGTGACACCAGTGTGCACAGATGCAACAGCTGCTGATAGTACTTTTTCTGATGGAATGGTAGAGCAGTGGTCAGTGAACTACAGAAGGCAGCCTGGCCAGGCCTGTGCTTGGTGAGGAATAGAGGTTCTTTCTCCCTGGCCTTTAGCTTCCACGCTTTCTGGGACTATTTGAGCACTTAGAACCTTGGGGCAGGTGAGGATCTCAATGTACAAATATTAAAAGAGAAACAAGATTCTGCAACAAGAAAATAGGTTTAGATTTCATTAAAATATGAATAAACTTGGCAGATGTGGGAACAATTAATAATCCCAAACTCAGTGCTTTTAGGCAAGATGCTTTCCTTTTACAGCCTCAATTTCTACCTCTGCAAAATAGGATAATAGTATCCACCTCACATCTTTGTTGTGTTAATTAAGATTATAAATTTTGAGAGCACAACAATCTTATCAGTGTGATCCATGTATATACAGCTGGTAGCTACAAACATTTAACTCTCTGATGCACAGTTGCCTAAAGAAGGAATGAAGTAGTCAAAGAATGAGATATTGGATGTGGACCATATTTTGTAATTTTCTTATACTATTAAGAGATAGGGTATCATTTATTGTTTAGAAAACAATCAGATATCTGATGAATTGTGTTGAGAAATAGGTCAAAAGCATAGCTTTCACTGAATTAACTGGTTAACTCAATCCAGTATGTCAGTTTTTTAGGCCTGTGTGGACATAAGCACCAAACAACCACATTGTAGGGGTCTGTGCATGTTGACATGACCTAAATTCCCATGTATCCATCTAAGGCTAACGTAGTGTGTGTTGTACACACTGGCGACATGGTAGACTGGGGAGGTGATGGGCTCTGCTGTGACCTGGACCTGGTCTCATATCCCAGATCTGGCACTTGCTGGTCAGATGACTTGAACACTACTAAGCGAGTTAACCTTCTGAACTTCTATTTCTTCATGTGTAAAATAATGATCTACTTCATAATATTACCATGAGGATAAAATGAGATACTGTGTTAAGTGTTTAATACAAAATGGGAGATAAAGAAATATTAGTTTGCTTCCCATTCTGATTGATTTCAAATTGAGGAATAAAAACCCATTAGGGCAATAGGACCAAAAAAAAAGCTATAACTGAAAGCAACTTCACTAGATATTATGAAGGATGGGAGGACGGGAGGAGGGGAGGGAGGAAGAAGGAAGGAAAGAAAGATGATTCTCTGTATCTCTAATTGCCAACTAGGGGACACTTTCCCCCAGACACGGAGATGACTGTGTTGATCTAAGCCCGCCCCACAAGTACTCTGTGTATATAAGGGCTTGAAACCATATTGCAGGGGCCCTGGAGCCTCTGAAGATACCGCATTATGGTTGAGAAAGTATTTGTATATTTTTCTAGAGGAACCCCGGCTTGTCCAGAAATCATGAACTTTATCTTAGACATGACACTTGCTCTTATTTAGAATTCTTTTCAATCTAGATCGTGCCTCCTTTCTGAAGCCACTTAATTGCCTGCACAGAAAACTCTGGGAAATATTTAGGAGCCAACAAGGAGAGAATCACCGGCTCTCAGTTTTGGAAAACTCATCCTGTCCAACTTCAGTGTCTTAGGTCTCTGCACGGGTAAGGAGCCTGCTTCTCTGTTTGTAAAGAATCCCAAAGGATGAAGAGCCACAATCTTCCTCAATCAGCTATTTTAGAAATAAACAACCTTCTCTGCCAGGATATCCTTCCTGTAACCCATCTCATTCCATATTCATTAATCACGGGACTTTGTTAAAGTGCTGGTGGGGGAGGAGAACTAAGCAGTGTAGTTAGTCGCCTTCCACCTTCTTTTCTCTTGTTGGTATATAAGCAGTTTCTTTGGATGTTTCCATCTAGGTTTTATTTGAGCAGAGTCTATAAATTACTTGGTATGGGGTTAAAGTAGGTCTATTAATTTGCATTTCTAAAAGTAATTATTTGAATTAGACTGGCATTTGGTGACCAGTCACACACCAGTTTCAGAGATGTGAGATTTCAGAGAACAGACAGAATGTTGTCAAAACAAAATGATGTGGTGCAACAAATAGTGGCTTTAGGTCAGACTGAGTTTGAATCCATCACTCTGGCGTCTGCCATCTCTGAATCTTGGTTTTCTACTCTGTAAAATGCAGATAATAGTGCCTACCCAGAACACATTTAGCACACCAAGCACAGTCCTGGCACACAGTAGGCTGGTGGGTAGAAATAATAAAGTTGTCTGTGTGTCTAGAGACTGCAGGGCTGAGAAATCCCAACGTGATGCTAAACTGTGGAAAAAAGAGATGCTTATCACTCCCCCCAACCATCCCTACCTCCTGACCTGTTTCAACAGGTGACAAAACTGCTCACTCTCATTGTTTCCCTGGCACTGAGTTCAGATTTTGGCCACGGTCACACAACATCAGACAAGTCAGTAGAACTATGGGAATTCCATCCATAAATCAGAGCAGTAGCAAGAGGCAATGTAGAGGCAGTTTTTTCCTCATAGAGCCTGAGCCACATTCGTGAGAGCCCAACACCACCCCCATGTTATAAAGTAAAAATGCCTGCCAGTGTTTCTATTCCACAACCCCAAGTATTCATCAGCAGAATTGGCCGTTTGTGCCAAGCTGCCTGTTGCTTAGGAAACACCTGTCTGTTTGGATCCTATAAAACCTGGGCTGTGGTTGTTTTGATGTTCTGAATAGGTCTGAATTTTCACTACTTCAAAAGTATCCCCTTTAGTCAACTGGATGAGCTTTGGCCTTTCCCTTTACTTCCATCATGAGTGGTGTTCTTGTTCATTACTTAACTGTCAGCAGCCTCCCTCAGCTGCCGCAGTATGCACTGCTCATCTTAGTGCTCCACAGAGCATGGAATGGAAATGCCCTTAGGGAACACCAGTTTGGGCCAAAATAACCCAGGAAGCCAGTGTGGTCAAGAGCAAGCATTCCCAATCTTGGCACTATGGACATTTGGAGCTAGTTAATTTTCTGCTGTAGGGGCTGTCCTGTGCATTGTAGGACATCCAGCAGCATCCTGGCCTCTTCCCACCATATCCCGTTAGCACCCCACCTCCTAGTTGTGACAACCAAAAATGTCCTCAGACATCGATAAATGTCCCGTGGAGGGTAAAACCACCCCTGGTTGAGAACCTCTGGGCTAGAGCAGTGGTTCTCAAATTTTAGTGAACATTGGACCAACTGGAGGGCGTATTAAAACAGACTTCTGAGCCACCACTCGGAGTTCTGATTTGACAGCTCTGTGGTGGGCCTGAGAATTTGCATTTTGAACAAGTGGCTGATGCTTCTGAGTCAGGGACCACATTTTGGTGTAAGGAGACCTAGGTACTGTCAGTTAGCATATTTGTCATTCCTCTGTTTGTGAAATCCCTAATTCAGTGGTTTCCATATTTATCTGCAGATTAGAATCACCTGGAAATATTTTAAGCATTTCAAAGACCTGGCCATATCCCAGACCAATTGAATCACTAATTCTGAGGATGAGGCATAGGCATCAGTATTTTTTTTTTTTTTTTTTGGTGAGGAAGATTAGCCCTGAGCTAACATCTGTTACCAATCCTCCTCTTTCTGCTGAGGACAATTGGCCCTGGGCTAACATCTGTGCCCATCTTCTTCTACTTTCTATGTGAGACGACTGTCACAGCATAGCTTGATAAGCAGTGCATAGGTCCGCACCGGGGATCCAAACCTGTGAACCCTGGGCCACCATAGCAGAGCACGTGAACTTAACCACTATGTCACTGGGCCAGCCCCCAGGCATCAGTATTTTTGACGTTCCCCAGATAATTCCAAATTTGAAGACCAAATTCAAGTGCCATTACCTCATTTGTGATTTGAAGTTTCAAGGCTGGTGACTTATGTCCTCCCAGCACGCATGTCCTGTATGTTTCAACAGCACAGCTAAATCATGAGCACTGGCCTACAAGGGACTGTGCAATCCTAGTCTCCCTGGGTGAGAAAATGGGGAAAATTCAGTTATGAAAGCTTTGCAATCACAGCATTCTGAAGTTAGAAGGAGTGCTAGGGACAGCCAGCAGCTTGAGCAAATCATGGTAAAGGTGGATAGGGTATGCTGTGGAAAGACAGGGCTCAATGGGAAAACAGGAAGCCTTTAGAAATGCCCTATTAAAAGGAAATGGATTTTGGGCCTCAGCTTTCATGATCCTCCCTGTGGACTCCCCAAAGGACCTGTCCTGGTTTCTGAGCTTCAGCCTGAACCTAGGAAAGATATGGAAAAAGGAGAAAAGTCAACAAGAGACAGAGACTCCTGATGGGCACCGTGCATTGGGCCAATGTGAGGTGAGTGGGGGATGCGATGGGAGGTCAAGGATGGGGAAGTAATTTAAAACCCCACTCCCATTTGTACAGCCTGAAAAGTGACAATGAACAATTCCACAATTTCTCTTCTGTTAAGCTTTCTAGTTTTTAAGATCTCTAAGAATCTAGAGGTTGTTGGTTTTTTTTTTTTTAATATTGCCTTCTCCATAAATGAAATACCTTAAATTATAAAAACCAAGGCTGCGCTTTACAAAAAAAGGAAAATCAGTCAAACTTCAAGGGAATAGAAAAAATAATATTAATTCAGAAACATCATAGGGGAGATAATGAAGATTTGGGCTAGATATACCCAACAACACAAAATGCGTTGTTACATTTTTTTGTTCATTCTAGTTTTTCTTCAAGGCCTGGTGGGTGCCAGTTCAGATCTAGGCAAGCCAGAAGCAACAGCAATGGAAAAACATATCCCATTTCTCCTTGGAACAGTCTGAAAGAAAAGGAACTACCCTAAATAATCATTCTGAGACACATACACTCACATACACATGTGCACACACACATCACACACACACACTGCATGCACTGCAATGCAGATGTGTGTGTCAATACTGAGAAACTGTCATGAGAAGAAAAATCAACAGTGTTAGGACAACGAAAGAAGCATTTCTGGGAGTAGGCACACATGTGTAGGCCCACAGAGGGGATGTTGAATTCAGTTGGCCATGCTGGAGGATGGCCATAGAGGCAATAGCGTTTGTGTGGGCAAATGCATGTTTCTTTCATCTATTGGCCACTCACATCCCACAAACGTTGATCAAAGGCCATGGTGAATCACATTCTGTAGAGAAATATAAAAGAAGGAAATGATGGGGTCCCTTGTCACAGGTAATTCCCAGTCTAGGCAGGGAGATCCAGTGTGCAGTGGAGGAGTCCACCCCATCACAACAAACACAACCCCTTCCAGGTTTCTGAGAAGAAAACCTGTGGAAGGGAAATCTCCAAGTAGGGGGAACCAGGAGCTCTTTGCAGGTAGGTACAAGTGTTGACTTTATGATTATTTTGCAAAACTAATTTGCTTAAGTGAGGAAAGGAAGGGTTCTAACAATTATTTGATTCAAACTATGCAAAAGGCACAACCTCAACATTTTTCTTATTTAACACTCACAACAACCCTAAGAAGGGAGCATCATGACCCTACTTTATAGAAAGATAAGTAGAGGCTCAAGGTTACAAAAGTGGTAACAGTCGTGACATTAATAGCAGCTGACACTTAAATGGTGCATTCTGCCTGCCTGACTGTACCCCTAATCACTCCATGTATATTAACCACTTAATGCTCCCCACAGTCCCAACAATTTTTGAGGTGAGGAACCTGAGGCTGAGTAGCCTGTCCAAGTCTCAGAGCTGGGAAACAGTGGAGCTGGCTCTTGAACCCAAGCAGCCATACTCCAGAGACTAGGTGACTTAATCACAATGGTTTAAACTGGTTAAAACCTGCCAAGGACATTTGGCCAAGTCTAGGTCAAATTATTACAGATTCTAAACATGCAAGCTCTTATTCTTTTTCGTTTGCCTTGGTGGAGGAGGAAGGAAGGGAAAGAAAAGTCACTGATGGTGGAGCTTGAGTGCAAAGGTCCTTAATGGGGGTCAGTTTTGCCCTGCAGGGGATAGTTGGCAATTCTGCAGACATTTTTGCTTGTCACAACTGGCATCTTTTTTTTTTTGAGAAAAAATCTTTATTACCTGTCATGAAGATTTCAAGATATTTAAAAAAGTGGCTGTGATTGTTTCTCTATGAATACATTCTAAGTCATTTTACTATTGATATTATAAAATATTTAATATAAACAAAACAATTGCCTTCAAAGAAATATATTGTGATATTTAAAAAAAGTCTTTCTAGAAAGTTAAACTACTCTACAGGGAAGTATCACCAAGTAAAAATTGAGAGAAACCCCCATAGGTTTGTGAAATAATCTATCTCCTCTGCTCAGCTGACAATTCTCCTTTCCAATCTCAATCTGATCTACCTCAGAGGCTAACATATTTCCTTTTTTACAAAGCAGAGGAGGAAAAGAGAAACCTTTTTCCTAAGAAGGAGGCCATGGCCTACATATTGTGCACAACACTCATTCTATGCTACCCACATGATGGAAAAGACAGGGCTGGACGTGTGGTCCCCAACTCTTCCCTGGGAGGACTCAGTGTGCTGGGTCATCTTGCTTTTCTACCAGTTGGTGTGCACTCAACTGTACACAAGATGGTTTGTGATCCATGCCCTGGCAACACCCGGCACAGTGTTGCTCAAACTGTGGTCCTCAAACCACCTGCATCAGGATCATCTACGGAGCTTGTGAAAGACACAGGTTCCTGGCCTGAACCAAAGACATGCTGATTCATAAACTTCTGGTCTGGGTCCCAGACATCTTCCTTTAACAGACTATTCTTATGCACATTAGAGTTTGTGAACCTTGGGATTCTTTACTCTCAAGCTTCCGTGGTGCCTAAGATCAAACTGCAGGTGGATGGGCCTCCCATGATCCATTCCAGGCCTTTCCTGGGAGGACTTTTCTAGAGCAGTGTGTGCCTGCACATCAGCACCACCACCACCAGCACTTTTAAAAGTTGTGCATTCTGGGGTCCCATCTCAGTGATTCTGATTCGCTGGGTAGTTCCCCAGGCCACGCCAGCATACAGCCAGTCTTGGTAACCTGCAGTTCTAGGAAATTCCAGGACCGTCCCTGCCAAGACAATCCTCAGGAGAGTTATGAAGCAGACAGCATTTGTTGGCTGTCTCCCCACTGTCTTATGAGTGCCCCCTCCTTCTTCTTGGCACCCTGTCTCTCTCTGGGGGCCCCTCTTCTATTTTTTACTCCCATACTGATTCCTTTTATTTACTCCCTTCTTGATGAGGCTAGTTGATGGTAACGAACCTCTCCCAGAACATTAGCTTTTTTTAAAAAAATTTTTTGTTTATTGCAGTAACATTGGTTTATAACATTGTATAAATTTCAGGTGTACATCATTATACTTCTATTTCTGCGTAGATTACATCATGTTCACCACCCAAATACTAATTACAACCCATTACCACACACATGTGCCAAATTATCCCTTTTGCCTTCCTCCCTCCCCGCTTCCCCTCTGGTAACCACCAATCCAATCTCTGTCTCTATGTGTTTGTTTATTGTTGTTATTATCTACTACTTAATGAAGGAAATCATACGGTATTTGACCTTCTCCCTCTGACTTATTTCACTTTGCATAATACCCTTAATGTCCATCCATGTTGTCACAAATGGCTGGATTTCATCGTTTCTTATGGCTGAATAGTATTCCATTGTGTATATATACCACATCTTCTTTATCCATCAAGTCCCTTGATGGGCACTTAGGTTGCTTCCAAGTCTTGGCTGTTGTGAATAACGCCGCAATGAACACAGGGGTGCATGTATCTTTACGCATTGGTGTTTTCAAGTTCTTTGGATAAATACCCAGCAGTGGAATAGCTGGATCA